AGCTTGCTACTTGCTGTAGATTATCCAAGCAATAGTATAGGAAACAACAGGACTGAGAGGCAATCACAGTACTGGGATAGGCAGCCTGTTTTGCCAACTGGAAGGGATATCTACTTGTCTCTTAGGCAACAAGTGTTATCCTTCCCTAAGTGCTAATAAAAATGTTTACTCAGAAATCCCAATAGCCAAAGATACTATCACAAAATGCATACTGCCAACACACTACTTGAACAAAACCTGTACAGCACCCTGCACAGAGGACAAATACAGCCACTGTGGGATTCAGAGTTTTGCATCCACCATCCAAACCTGTGTTTGTACTACAATAACTTTCTTCTTTGTTTTATATCAAAACCTACAGCATTTCATTGCATTTTAATGGTAATTTGGTTGGCTTGGGTTACTAAGGCTTAAAACTGAGAAGGGATTTAAGGAATCAATCTAGATTCTACCCAGGAAGCACATACTCCTCATGTGATGGAAAACAGTATTTATCTTGCAATTATTTTCACAGCCAACTCTAGTGGATTTAAAAGGAAGAATGTTTTACTCTCCTCTTCAGTTTTCTGCTGCTATAACAATGATGTCTAGCACAGATAGCAAATGAGCTGCAGGAATACATATTCATTATTTGTATTATTTGCTTATTATTTATATTATTATCTATTTATTAGCCCAACAGAACACACAGCATATATATAGTATTTAGGTCACTTTGCTTGAGGGACCTGTTGTAACATTATGAATTACGGAAACACTGAATGAGTCACCTAATCTGTAGCTTTGTTGAGAAACAGCAAGAACCAGTAAGGTTAGATGTAATGAGTTAGGAACTCTCAGCTAGTTCAGGTTAAACTCCCAAATGTATGTCATGGATCACCATTATACAAGCAATGCTGCACTGTCCAGAAGGCAACACTCTGGCCCAGTTGCCATGCTGGATTCTTCAAGACTGTGCAGCACTAAGATACATCCATCAAAACTAAAGACTAAATCTTATCTAGTTTAAAGCATGACTGTAAGTCCACATGTCCAGTTGCAAGACTTCCCACAAACATCCAGACATGCTGGTGAGTTCTTCAACTTGTCATTATCCGTACAATTCCAAATACAATGGTTATCTACAACTGGAGGCAGGCAATCAATAACAACGTGTCCCTGTTTTTTCTTTCTTGTTCATAGGCATTAACTAGAGCTAGAATTCAGAATCAGGTTTCAGAGTGGCAAGAAGATATTTCAAACAATCTTGCCCATTCCTGTAACCTGACTGGAGCAATTGCCAGGGCTCAGAGAGAGGCTGTGTCCACATATAGAGCTTGGAGAAAGGCCTAAAGAACACTTCCTACTGGGCAAAAGTGTGAAAAAGTACTTAGGGTTACAACAGACACAACTCTTGTAAGTGAAATTCTCAAATCTTTGCTATTACAGTAGTGCTCCAGGCTCCAGTATGCCAGAAGGCTGGAACTCCTCAGTAGTAAATTCCAATTAAAAAGGTACCAAGAAAGAGGATTTTGCCTGAAAGGCTTAAAGCTAAACACCCATCAGGAATGAGACAAGAAAGGAAAAATGAAAGAAGTAGTGACTGGTCCATAATAATTGTGGAGCAGGACAAAAGGGCTGTAACCCATCTACAGCTTCTCAAAAAGCCACTATTTCTTGTTTCCCTTACCCAACCCTTGAGCTACAGCTTCTCAAATATTAGCAGAGCTCCCACCGTGATCTACACTTGGACACATACCCAGCAAAGCAATGCTCAGATGGCATTTAAGTGGTCAGATACCCTTGGCACGCATGAATTTCCAAGTGGGATCCATCTGTGAGCATAAAACGTGACTGTGATTTCTTCTTTATTTTGCTGTCAGCACTTAGCAAACCTCAGAAGGGTGAAAATCTCATTTTGACTTGGGACTCCTGAATTCTGACAGCCAGAATTCACAGCGAGAACCACTGTTTCCCCCATCCCTAGATCTAGCAAGGTTATGTCTAGTGCATATGAAATAAAGTACTAGGCAACATGGCAACTGGCATAAAATTCTGTTTTTCTCACTTTCATATCACAGTATCTACAACAGATTGTGATTTGTGTCTATTCTCTTTGGAGCCATCTCTTATCTTCCACAACAGACTGCTATGTAATTGTCTAGCTCTTTTCTTTGGGGCCAGCATACCAAGTAATTAGTGAGACAAATGTTACTTTCAGATGTGTTGGGGCCGTTCAGGCTGAGATTCTTATTCAACTTCATAATCTTCCAATGTAAATACAAACTTGTCTCATCTGTCTGTGTGAATATGTCAGTATGTTTCTGTCTGTCTTTGTGTATTAGTCTTATATAGCCATACCTTCCAGGGAAACCACTGTACTGTCAACTGAATGTCATGCAAACCCTCAGCTCAAAGCTCATGAGCCCCCCCTGCATTTAAGTCTTCGGAGAAACAGGGTTGTTGTTTCTACAGAGGCTTCTTACTTAAATTCTTCGGTCCTATCCTTTTAACTTCATTCACCCTTGACTCTGCTCATCCTTCATAACCTTGTACTATAAGCACCCTAAGTTCAGTTTTGAAAATATCCCCTGAAGTCTTGCATGCTTTCTGTTACCTTCAAGCTTATAGCTGAGCAGCCCTTTAACTCCCAGGGCCAGAATTCCTCCCTTCAGAAATCAGTCACCTCTCCTCTGACTCACAGAGCTACCCTAGCTCTGTGCAAACTCCTACTGTCAACTTCATTTTCAAGGGCTAAGAGCCACTCTCTGTATGTTCCACCTGATCTCTGCTCCCTTTGACACCATGTGTCTGCACCTTATACAAGTTAACTTCCAGTTAACTTGCAGTACTTGGTGAGCTTGGTTCTTCAGCCTCTCTGGTTTTCCATATCTCCTTGGAGGTCATTAATCTTGGTCTGGATATTGCTTTGGGTCTCTTCAAGGCTTTGCAGAGACAGTTGTAATCTAGCATGGGTTACAACACCAAAGAGCACCAGGGCTTCAGTGCAAGCCAAAGAATCCCGCAGGGGACACTTGTTCTCGTGGCCAGTCTGGACTTAAGCCAGGGCTGCACCCCATTTAAAGTTACAGTTATCCAGATCAGCCAGGATAAAGAGATTTATCTGACTAAGGCAGAGATGAATGGTAGAAAGCATAATAAATGGATGTACATACCAAGTTATTAAGTAGGTGGAAGGTAAGAGACACAGAATCTACCAAGGTGCTTTTAGACAAAATAATGGTGAGAGTTGCCAGGTCTTACACCACCTGCCAAATGTTTTGCTTCCCTCCTAATCCCCCACCCCTTCAGTCACATCAGCTTTAAGCTACATTGCTTGCATTCACTGAATGCCACATCTGTGTGAACCAGACCCTGGCGAGAAGAGCTGCACTCCAGAGAATTCCTCATGCTCATCAGTGTGTGGCTCAATAGGCCTGTAGGGGGGATGGTATTTTACATGATAAACCCTAGGAATAAACATCTGCATTGAAACAAGTGGCTTGAAAGAATCAAAAGGTAGGAAATGTTATTGAAAGGCTAAAGGATCTGTTCTGACAGAAAGATGTTCATCATGTGCAACTCTGTCAGCTTCAGACTGGCTTTTCAGATGTTTTACATAGCTGTGCTCACCTGTCCAAACACCTCCTCGTTCACTGTGAAGGTGAGATCCAGGATATCTGTGATGTTGTTATCCTTCATCCACTGCAAACTCTGATGGAACTCTTCATCCAGGTACTCTAAGTCACTTAAATCACATGGCCTGATTGCAAGGCAAGAAAAAAAAGATGCAGGTGTATGCAGGACTCCATGACTATTGGCAGGATGACTTACTACTAACAATGTGAACAGGTATGTGCTGAAGAGCCAGCATAAAGCTGGTGTTCATTTGGTTTTGTGAACATCAAAGACCCTCTCAAAGCAGCTCTGCAACTGCTTTGCATGGCTGGGCTCAAGGCCAAATCTGTTGGCTGCCTGCACTATTTGCTGTCAGAGGGCACCCCTGGGGCTTGATTTAATGTGAATCTTCAGGATGCCCTGTTTCAGAGCACATGCTTACCTTCAGGATGGACGGGCCCCACCATGCTGTGCCTGGCTGCTTCCACATATCTATCATCCTCGAGGTGAGCACACAAGACTGACATAAGGCAGACCAAGCAGCCTAAACTTCTGCTAGTAAGGTGCCTGCTTTGTTTGCTGAAAGGGCAGGTGGTTTCAAACCTCCTAAAGGGGCAATAATGACGCAGGGAGAACTCTAGGTTTCAGGCTATTTCCAGACTAGCTCAGATACAACAGAGAGGAAACTGTTTGGACCTCAGCAACTATCATTGTTAAAAAAAACAGTAATAAATTAAATGCATGTTAAAGAACTCAAAGGATGTTAAGTATCTTCGCTGACCTGGCATCATCTAACTTGATGAACTATTTCAGCCAAGTTTTATTCTGCTCTTTGTCATTTAATTGCAGTCTGAACTTACTACTTCTGGCTTTTCTCATTGCTGCAAATTTTACGTACCTTAACTTACTGCAGTCTATAAAGAGGGACAGATTGTCAGATAAAGCTAACCTTATAAACTTGGCATTGGAAGCAATATATTACTGGTAGCTTCTGCTTACTAGTATAAAAGACAGTACAAGGCCAAGAACAAACATCCACTGTTGATATCTACATTAGCACACCTAATGAACCCAAGTTGTGTTTTAGAATTAAACCCAGTTCCACCAGTGAGGCATGAGAAATTACATATTTTTCTTAATATGACCTCCCTCCCTTTTTTGTTGTTATTTTGTTTTTTCACATCAAAGATACTTTTCAGTCTTCCACATAGTTAAAGTCTGATAAGTTTTCATCAGTAAGTTACTACTTTAAGTAGTAAACTGGGGGATTACGGGTCGGTACTTTCAAATGTCTGTTTGTAAATGTTATACTTACTATGCATTTTTATCAACACAGTATTTATGGAAGGCAGGGTCTTGGACAAAGTAAAGGAAAATTAAAACATGTTTGTTTTCTATCACAGACCAACCAAACATGGAAAGAACTTGAAGGTCAGAGTGCTTGAAGCAACTCCACAAGGGTCTGTCTCTGCAGGACTCACTATGGGATCACTGTTTCTGCACAGTTTCTGCATACTTATACTTACAGCCTTAGTAGGGCTTTGTAGAACGGCCTTGTGAAGAAAGCATCGAGAAGGTACTGGTGAATGAGAGCAAGGCCAAGAATACGACCACTGAACCTGAACCTGGGATATAAACATACAGAGTAAATGAAGTGTAACTCAAGATACTCAGCACAGAAACTTACAGAGGTAGCAACGGGTTTTGTTCCTTAGTTTCTTACATTAATTATTTCTTTTTCTCCAAGCAGATACCTAACACCACCCTTCCCACCTCTGATCAGTAATGGATCTCTTTTTGATCTAGCTCCCACTCTACCCATACATGCACCTGGCATGTTATATGCTCTCCTGTGCCAAACCAGTAAACACTCTGAAGATTCACCATCTATGATCTTTAGTGGAATGTTCTGATACAGACTGACTCCATCAAACTCAGTTTTTAGCTATTAAATACTGTAATACTCCACCCTCAGCAGAAAACATACTATCAAAACAGCTGCAAAGGGTATTTGGTGAATCAGTATATCCAATTTCTGACTGGTTACAACCCTTTTCAGGGTGGGGCTCTTAAGTATTCTAAATGCGTAGTGAGTTGCCTTTACAGGGGAAAACTGATGTTTAATTAAGTTACCTGTTGTGACCAAGAATATGAATTAAAATCATTATCTAAAGGTCAGGCTAGCTGTTCCCTGACCACTTTCTTAATGGTGATGTTCTGCTGTCTTCAGTGTTTACATACTCTTGTGTCTGTTTCTGCTTTCAAAGAACAACAACCCCTAGTCCTGCTCCAAGTACATCCAGAGAGTGCCCTCCCCATTACAGTCTGACTTGTGATGATAAGCTCTTCCATTTGTCTATGATTTCTTCAATGACTTACTAGATATTATTCCATCAAATCTGGTTTTAAATCAGTCATCTCAGACAGAAAAATTCAGAACTGGTGGGTTTCTTTGTAAAAACAATCCCATTACCCATCCAAAACTTATTTGTCAAAAAAAGGAAAAGAAACAACACCCCAAATGTGAGCACACCAAGCCTGAGCTGACTGACATCATGGTGAAGTTTCATTGCTCAAAAGATGAGAAAGAGATCAAAAAGCCAAGAAACCATTTTTTCCACTACAGGAATGAGTGTGAAGACCTCTCCTGTACATGAAGGAAACGTGAGTCTCACTGTTATGAAAGCAGTGCAGAGTATCCATTCGCTCAGTCAACTTTATGCTCATGGGACAGAACAAGTGCTTAGTATGTCAAATGGGGCACAAAATAGCATGTTGTGGGCCCAGTTAGCATTTACACCACCACAAGAGCTGCCGCTGGGTCTCCTGCATCCAGGAAAGGTGCTTACGATATGCAGCTGACTGGTAACAGAAGGGTGATTATATTACCCCCTTACAGCTGTTTCCACAGAAGCAACAAAAGACAGCTGTTGGGTCTAGTTAGGACCTGCTTCACTTCACTTGTGCTCCAGTGCAATGTTTCCAGCAAGAAGCAATGAAAAGAGGGGGAGCTGACACAATGAAAGCACAGTGGAAGCCAGACAGCTCAAATCCCAGAAATGCTGAGGCTGTAATCCATCAGTTTTATAGTACCTTCAGGATCTATAATCGAGTCCATTTGTCCTAAATAATGCATGTCGGCTTTTTTGGTTTCGTTCTTCACCATCTCCATCTATCCATCCCTGCACATTTTGAATGAAAATACTATAAGCACTGGGTGTTCCTCACCACAACACCCACCCCATGGCTATTCAACTGTGCAGGGCAGGGCAGGCAGGAGCCTTTTGGAACAGAGCAAAGCAGAAAGTAAATTGCCAAGAAAGATTTGGGAATGTTGGTTCTGCAAAGAAACTCCTTGAAAGTATGAACAGCATCAGTTTTCTTCTTGCTGCTTGTATCGCTTCTGTACCTGCATGTGGCTTTGAGGGCATTCATGCAAAGCTGTCATGAAAGGGTACTGCACCTAGATCAAGGTGTTCAGCATATGTTATGGTGGCTGTTAATGGCAAGTTTCATTTGAATCAGTGCCTTATGGCAGATGTGTATCAAACCATTCAAAAGCTATGGGTAGTGTTTCTTCATGAAAGGACTAAGGCTGGTGGGTCAGACTAAGCAAATGTGGGCAGAGCAACTCTTAGGTTGTGTGGTCCGTCAGTCTGACCTTGCACCGGCAGCCCTGGGCACACCAAGGCTTGCTCAACCTGGGGTCTGACTGTGGTTCCACAGCCCCAGCCTTTGCAATGGCACTGTGTAGGAAAACAAGTCCAGCACTAACTGGTCTGGATAAAGGAGATAATTAAAAAGACATTGCTACTCCTGGTGTCTGCCAATACAATGGATAAAAAAGCTATGCTGCAGATTGTATTTCTTAGCTGCTCCATATCATCCCAGCAGACACAGTGCTTTGTGGCCACATCATGTGAGCTCTGCAGCCCACAAACCCTTCTTCCCCTGCACAAAGCTTTGGTATCTCTGCAGAGCCTTCTATACCTGACTCTGATCTGAAGGCTGAAGGACCTCTGGCCCCTTGTCCATTCTGGACAGTGTCTGGGATGACAAACGGCATTTCTATGGTCTAGCAGTGCACTGAGAACAGTGGATCATGGTAAGCCAACAGATACCTATCAAAAGGGAGGTGTTTGCTACTGTCCTCAGAGGACAACGGAACAGTCTATCTGTGTGTGTGTCCATACAGAGCATCGAGCTGCCACCGTGCTCAGCCAAGCATAACACTACCACTTAAAATATATCAAAACCTACAAAGAAGCAACAAGAAACAAATCGATCTCCTTACAAAAGCCAGTTAAAACAAAACCAGACCTTTGTGTTTATTTCTTCCTGAAGGATTTAGAACACGGGTGAGATCCAGAGATGGGTGAGACAGCTGCCTCAGAAAAAACAAGTTTTCTTGACAGAGTAAGCAGCACAAAGGTAAATCTGGGCTGGAGGGCACATACCTTCTTTAAACCTGACTTACATTTATCTTTCCAAGGAAGTGTAAAATGCTTGTTTGATTGGTTTCTAGCAGAAAAGATAGCTTGGAAGAGGTGGGGAATGTGAGGTCTAGCTCTGGCCCTTTCTTTCAACACCCTTCCCTTTCAGAGACAATGATTGAGTCTGAGTACCGTGCTCTGGCAGAGAGGGGAGATGTGGAGGGAGTTAATGAACAGGAAATGGTGGAAGGAGAGACAGAATTAACGAGCAGGAGACCTGCTCTGCTCTGACTCCTACTGACACCCTTCATCTGCTCAAAAAGGACATTGTGCACACCTGCCTCCCGGCTTTTAACAACACAGCTCTCTGACCTATTTGCAGGAGTTTCCACACTACCCAGCAGCTAACTCCTTTTCCTTCTGGAGGCTGCAGGTGCCCCTGAAACAGCCTGTTTTCACAACAGCCTGTTGCAAAATAACAGGCTCGTTCTCCTCTGCATACTTACTGCATGTCTGGGTACACAGGGACAGACAAACCCATATGCTGTAGCAGCGACTAAGCAATACATTTTCCTCCAATTGCAGGTGAGTCACAGGAAATTTAATTTACTCTGGTCTTTATCATATAGCAGCAGAATAAGGCAGGACCCATAATGACCTTTTGTTACAGGGCTCCCTCTCAACTGGTTGAATGAACGCAGGTCTTCTTGATATGACAGTCCTTCCTTGGATTCAGATGGAGAATGATGCACCTCGACAAAACTGCCATCTATGTGTACAGGGGAAGAATGGTTCTTATCGTTCTGTAAGGGATGCTTTGGTAGCCGTGCCTTGCCAGCTAAATTGGCTACAGTATGAGAAACTTGAAGTCCTAAATAGAGGAAGCACCTGATGGAATTGAAAATCTTGCAAACCTTATCTCAAACACATCAGCGGTGTTTAAGGGTGCCCTTCTTGGTGCAGTAGCTTGTGAGAAAATATTCAAAGAAGGGCTCAAGAGAGGTGACTATAATATGGTTCACATCCAATTTGAAGATGTCGTTTTCCTTTCACAACAGTACTGAACGCTTTGCTTTCATCTGTAAGACAAATTGCACCAGTTTTAAAGTTTCACACTGTTTAATCATGCAGATAAACTTTTGGCCACCTGAAAGACAAGCTGAAAAAATGAGGCGGCACTGCGGTACAGGATTTCTGCCCTTGGCACCTCTTTTAAGGGAAAATAATGATATTTGGGAGATGGATGCAGCTGGACAGCCCATTAGTCCTTCCACAGTGGAAGAGACTGGACCTAATCTCAACCATTATTAGACAGCAGAGAACCTAAAAAGGGGAAAGTATTTGGAAGGACTCAAGTTATGTGAATGGCTTCACTCTGAACATGCATCTTATTAGACAACAGAGAATTCAGTCATGAAACCCAGATTTGTAGGAAACCAGGCACCACAGGATCCAGTCTGTGGGGCAGCTTGTTTTACAGGACAGTTAAAACCTTCATGGTGATGAAGACACTTGTGAGCATCCTTGTTGTGAAGGAGACATCATGAAGGCCAGAAACTACTAATGAAAGGAAATAAAAATCCATTCTTATAGCCTAAAATACTGTGATTTGTAATCTTGCCACTTGGACGAGAGGGCATGGCATACAGAGGAGTATGTACTGATCCATGACTCTTGGATTGTGGTGGAATCACCAGAACTGGCATTTTCTAAACAAAGAGCAGTTTTATTCTATTTTTTAATGCAAGAAAGCTCTAAAGATGTGTATTTTGCAAAGAAGCTCACCAGGTGGTTACAGCATCTCTGCCTGGCCTCATACACTATGAACTTTAAGCAAACTGGCAGTGTGTCAGATACATGCACCAGAGTGTGTCTATGTGCTAGCAGCACCTATCCCAGCGTTGGCTCAATGCAGGACTTGACCAACATGTCCTGTACTGAGCTACATCAGATAATCTTTACAAACCCTTGGCAGTGGATCAACTTCACACCTCTATCAGCCTCCATTAACAAATGCCTTTCTTTAATTTGGTGTGCATATTTAACCCCTACTCCCACAAATGACAGAACATTTGAGCAGACTAATGTGATGATGAGAGGGATCTATTGTCAGGAAGGTTAGCCAGGCAGGCTGAGGAAGCTAACACCATTTTGGTTATCTGACTTGCATCTTGCAAACTTTGCAGACCGCCTCTTTGCCACCATGTCATTTGGTGGCGAGGCATATTTGCTCTGCATACCTGGAGGCTCAGAGGCTGACGCTGTGGCATTCCAGCAGGATGCCGGAAGCCTCTCCAGCTCAGGAATCTGATGAGCTCATGTGTCATTAATAGGAAAGGAATGGCTCTTGGAAAGGCCAATAGACAAAACTCCACTAAGTCTTAACACATTAAAGAGAAAAGGTAAAATAATTCCTTTGTTAGTCCTGGAGGAGAATTCCAGCACGAGGAGTAATAAGATTAAAGTTGGCTTGTTTTCTTTTCTTACATGCACCTCTAATATGGAGAATTCTCAGAGAGACAAAACTACAACACTGAGACACCTGCATGTGGCATCTTTCAACATCACATTAAGGACTTGTCCCACCTCTTCTGGTATCTAACCACAGTAGCATCCTACCTGAGAACTTAACCTGGATCCACACACACTTCTTGTGAAGGAATGGTAATAACCCACCTGACCAAGTTCTGCTGTTTTCTTTTTAACCTCCTTTGGGTTATGTTCTAAATACTGAAAGGCATCGTAACCCATATATGGTCAAAACACATTCCAGGTTTTCGACAGTTACTGATTTTTTTCAAGGCTAATCTCCATACTTCCTTGCTATGAAACTAGAGAAAATTCTGCCAGGAAAGCTGAAATTTCAGTCTATTTTCCAAATTAAAACTGAGAGGAAACATTGAGGATTGCTGACATGGAACAACTGTTTGTGCAGATTTCCAGCTTGGAAACTGATGGATGTTAAACAGTTAGAGCCTACAGGGATTTATCCCTGCAGCTCCTGCAAACATTATTGGGGTTTAATAGAGGATACATTCACCTCAGAGCCAAGGTTTTTTGTTCAGGCATCAAAAGATGAAGGAGCATATTCCATGAGTCCCTCTTTGATAATATTCTGTCTGCTTCCTATTCCTATAAAACTAATGAGATTTAATTATATTTTAAAGGAAATTTGTAACACTCATTTAAGAAAGCACTAGCCTTTTCTAAGTAGCCCCAGTTGTAAAGTGTATGGAAAGCGGACAGTCCAGCAGGCCTGCTTGCAGATGGTCATAAAATACAAAGTGGGTGTTCAGAGATGGGTGAAATGTACAGGCATCACCCAAGAATGGAAATTAAGCAAGACAAAAAGGTTTAAAACTGATTTTTAGAGAGAAGAACAACCTGGTACAAACAAACTTCCATCAGGCTTCAAATCCTGAATGGGTAATTCTCTTCAGGTGAAGATCTGCAGGGGTGAGTCCTCTCCTTCCTGCCTTGCTTCAAGTACTTTCAGTTTTGGTGGGCACCTGAGTTTTGTATGATGAACCTGTGTTTATCCGAGTCAAGCCCTCAAGTTTATTGCATGAATTTCCTGCTGCAAAAGGCCAGTGTAATACTGGCACTCCAACAAGTGCTTCCCTACTTTTATTTTCTGGATTTATCTGCAAATGGAACACAACGTTTCTGTTTCTCAGTACAAAAGAGTAACCACATGAAAAAGAGCTATTGCTTACACATGATGGAAATGTGAACTATCCATGTTCTTCTAAATCTCTGGAGCTCATGTATCCTGAATTAGCAACTAAGCCTCAAGCCATTCCTGAAGCTTAATTTACCAGTAACTGAAAAACAATGAGATAATGTGAACCTTACTGCTTCTTTATTTAAGCTAATCAAATCCTTCAAGTCTTTTCTTTGTCTCTAACCTAACTATACTGCATGTTCACTCAAAATGAGACTGTAGGGATAGGACAAGGGGTAACAGGTTAAAACTTAAACAGGGGAAGTTTAGATTGGATATAAGGAGGAAATTCTTTCCTGTTAGGGTGGTGAGGCACTGGAATGGGTTGCCCAGGGAGGTTGTGAATGCTCCATCCCTGGCAGTGTTCAAGACCAGGTTGGACGAGGCCTTGGGTGAGATGGTTTAGTGTGAGGTGTCCCTGCCCATGGCAGGGGGGTTGGAACTGGATGATCTTAAGGTCCTTTCCAACCCTAATTATTCTATGATTCTATGATTCTAAAATGTCTTTCCATCTTCCTTACATCCTCGCTATAGCCACCACAAAAGAACCCTTAGGAAAGGTTAAAAAGCTAATTGTGTAAAACAGAAAAAAACATGATTTTATTAGAGAAGCTGAAGGCTGTTCTGCTTTATTCAGTAAAGGAGGGACAAAGATAATGTAGATAAAGGAAACTCACAGTATCCCCTCCTGTTTCCCTTCAAGGTAGCTGCCTTGGCTCCCTGCACATCAGCTGAACTGTGTCAAAAGTCACTACTGCAGATACAGAACTGAGCAAATCTGGCTCTGGGACTTCCACCGTGTGCAGTTATCGCAGGCAGTCCAGCCTCAGTGTCACGGGTTGTCTGTGCACCACAGACTCCAGTCACAGGAAACAGAGAATTGATTTCCACTTATGTCTTTAAACTAATAAAGTAGATGGTCTCTCTATAACATGAAATCATGCTATGTGTCACTTTACCAATAACAAAGTTCCATGAACGTACTGTTTGGAGGAGAGGGGGACTGTGGCCAAGTGCTGGGTTTGCCATTTCTGCTTGCAGAGCTATCGATCGCATGAATAAAAACGTAGAATCTCTCCTTTGAGAGAACCATGACAAAACATGGCATCACAAACATGATCGTCATCAGAAACTGGGCTGCTTGTGGGATTTAGATTTAGCTTCTCTTGCTGGTACAATGGCAAACTCTTCTCCAATTCTTCCCAGTAACTACAGAAGAGATGCAGACTGAAGTATGAACTACTGGCTAGAAGACTACAAACCTCTACATTTTGTGATTCCCAGATCCTAGACTGTATTTTTGACAGGCAGATCTCAAAGCAGCTTACAAAGGAGATCAGCAGCAATACAGAATCATAGAATAGTTAGGGTTGGAAAGGACCTTAAGATCATCTAGTTCCAACGCCCCACTAAACCATGCCACCCAAGGCTTTGTCCAGCCTGGCCTTGAACACCACCAGGGATGGAGCATTCACAACCTCCCTGGGCAAGCCATTCTAGTGCCTCACCCTAACAGGAAAGAATTTCATTTGACAAATGAGAAAACATAACTACAAAAGTAAAATGATTTATCTAATGTTATCCAGAAAACAAGTGGTAGAGACGGGAATACAATCACAGTCCTCTTGAGTCCCAGCTCCATTTTAGTTGTTTAGTCTATTTGACAGCTTTTACTTTCTTACCTTCTATAAAATGATATATGAATGACAGGAAATTTTGTGACTCAGCTCTAGTTTATGACAGCTCCTTATGGACCAACTCAGTCTGATGCATATGGGTTGGGTTTTTTTTTAAGCCAGCAAGAAGGCATTTTTATCAAGAGATTTTGAATTCTCAGTCAAACCTTTTGGAAAAGCTACTGGTTGTGGCAGGGGCACTTTGTAAACCTGCGAGTTGGTAAAGTTTCATACGCTGCATGATTCACGTTTGCTTTGCCATGTGTTGTAACAAATTGGTCAAGCTACAGGGGAAAACCCATAGATTTAGTCATCTGCCAGACAGGAGGGACAGAAAAGCGCAAGCCAAATGACCACACCATTTCCTTCAATGGCTAACTATGACTGCTGAAGCCACAATAACCAACTGCTCAGTCAAAGGAGGCACTGTCTGGGGTATTTAAGCACGAGAGAGACTGCTCATCATAAAACCTCACTGGTAAGCACCCAGGAATGTCCACACCATGTGCTGAAGCATGATGCAGATATCCTTGAGCTAACTGCGGACAGGTCATCTGCAGTGCAGAGCCACATGCACTTATCAGCCCTGGTCCAGAAGCCATACACTTGGGTTTGCACTGTTCTGCAACTCAGCTAATGATCCCTGACTCTCAGATGTGGTTCCTCCATTGAGTAAGCTCAGGAATCTGTGTGCTAAATTCAGATTCAGACATGCTATTAATTGCTTGACAGTCTGTTTTAGGTCTTGTTTTGCAAATCACTGAACACCTCCAACTTTCACCAATACCACCGCAAACCTACAGCTCTGATTGTCTTCTGCGAGCATGCAGAATGCAGACCTGGACCTGTAAGTTGCTGTCCTCAAGTGCAAGAATTTTTTTACTTCTCCTTTATGAATCTTTCCAATACAATTAAAGAATTCCAGTTTCTAGTCTGTTTCTTCCAAAATGCGAGTCGTAAGTCACAACACAGAAAGCTCCTTTGGGCAGACACAAGACACTGAATTTTCTGTTCTTGTTATTAAACACAGAAGGTGGGCAGGTCAGGATTTTCCTCATCCTCCATAATTTTAGTTAGATTTTGACAAACATTCCTATTCCAAGCTGGGCAAACTGACAAACTTGACACTGCCCTTCTCCCTTTAAATGCATCTGGATCAGATCAATTCAAATCTTTAATCTTCCCATTTAGTAAAACCAAGGTAATATACTGAAAATAAGAATTTTCAATGGACAAATGAAGCTTGTAACTTTCAAAATATCCCAGGGAGAGACCTATGCAAAGAGAAATGCCTTTTCTACTCAAAAATACCCCAAATGGATTTGGGTGATTTACTGAAAGCAATTCTGCTCTGTGAAGTCTTTCTTTTGATGTATGAATTGTATTTACTAATAAAAAAGTCAGCTTGGGAATTTCTGCACCTGCTCTAATTGACTTTGCTTTACCTTACCCAAGTGTGAATAAAATGTAGTGAGAAACAAGGAGGGGCAAAGATGACTGAGCAATACTTCACAGTGACAGTCCAGCCTTGCCATTCCAGTGTGGCTGGAACAAGAGATACGAGGACATTCATCACTCCCTGGGAGCTTTTCGCCACTACAAATAAACACACAACCAGTGCCCACCCTGATGCTTCCCTGCAGGCTCACATTCTCAGAGACAATGTGGATTTTACCCTTCTCTCCTCTACCACATGCAAGGTGGAGACGCTCTAGAGATTTTCATGTGGAGCCTCCCATCTCCGAGCAAGTTTAATCCACAATGCTGCAAAAGACTCCATGGCCTTAAGCAAGGGAAAAACCCATAAAGATGACTTTTGTAAAAACACAACAAAACACAACAGCCGCCTTTCCCTCAAACCAAACTCTAATTATGGAAGCAGTGCTAGACACTATGAGGTTCAGAGAGGGGAAAAGGAGGAGAGACTGCAAGAGACATCTCTTCTTTCAACCCAAGTGACACCATCATTCAGATCCTCAAAAGAACTTGAAAAAATCAAAGCCAAAATTAAGGTAAATATAAAGCAGAGCCTTTTTATAAAAAAAAAACAGTTTCTGTAGAAGCTCAGTTAGGGAGAATATTTTTTTTCTCCCTCAGTTTGGTTTGCCTTTCATCTTCCAATTCCTCCTGACCCTTAATAAATAATTAACCAGCTGTTGAGGCAGGCTTTATGTGCTTATAGTCATACATCAAACTTAATAGGAAAATCAAAGTTTGCGTAAGTACAGAAGGCATTGAGAGAGATCACAGTGCAGCAGCGAGGCCTTTCAGTAACATAAGCGTTTCACATCATGAAAAGGTCTTACAAAATTATTTCAGCTGCATATTTATTTAAATATCATTCTTGTCCAGAAGATTTACAATAGTGCTTGAAAATTTCTCATGCAAACATAATTTATTTAAAATCAGGTATTGGTAGTAATTAAAATTTATAGTATAACGTAACATTGAATGCTTTGGTTTTCTATGGTGCCTTTCATCTGAGAATTTCAAAGCAGTTCACAGCACCAGCGTACATCAAATGGATTTCAAGTTGATGACATAGGAGGAGACCTCTTCATATGGAAACTGAGGCAAAGAGGTAACCACCTAATTGTAAAAACAACTGGCTGTTGCTGCATGCCCCACTCTGGGGTGCTATATCTGATCTGATTTTTAAGAGGATGATTTTTTGGAGTGTAGCATAAAGAAGTCCCTTCAAGATGACTGCAAAATTGGTCTTCCAAATTCATACTTCCCCCTGAATGCAGACCCACACAACCGGCATATTTGATCCCCAAACCAAACTCTGGGTTACTGACTCCCTTAATAAACAGGTATTGGGCCATATGTAGGTTGCCTGCCATAACAGTTACAAAATTAGAGAGATAACTGAGTAATTCTGGCCACATATTATGCAGAGCTACTTTCAGTCAGTGGAGAGGAGTGATGGCTGTTTGCAGACCTCCTGCTTAGATGCTGTGACTACAAAGATGTTCTATAAAAAGCCTGTTTCTATAAAGAGCCAAAGAGTGTGCCTGAATCTATCCTATGAGCTGGTCAGCATATGAATACAACCCATTAGGTCATGAGGCAATTTGTCACTTTCTTTAAAAACTAAATGAAATAAGTCATTCTCTGTGTAGCAGCATTAATGGAGCTTTGTTTCCTATAGATCTGTCTCTGATGGTTCTACATTGCCATGCTGCAGTAGTTCCAGTTCCTCCTACACACCTCTGCTAGCACTTCCCACACTTTGGAGCATCTCCAGCTTTTGCCTCCTCTGAGCTTTCACAGTGCTCCTGACATCCTCAAGCTACTGACATGATGGTATAGCTGGTTCACAGCCTGTGCCTGTGGTAGACCTGTCAGCTTGCCCATGCTACATGGCCAATTTGGAGGCCAAGCAGAATGGATAACTGCTGAGCTCACCAGCCTGCCTTCACTGAGGCACTCTTCTGCGTTTCTATCTTTACCCAGCCACCAGTTTTGCTTTTAGGAAATAAGTACCTTTGAGATGTTTACCTTCCTGTCAAACAGGTCACAGACTGATTAGGAAACTGTCTGATGGCTGGGCAGGGCAATTGCACAAGGCTCAGCTCCTAAGGAAACTGGGTGAAGAAAACCAGCCAAGCTCTCTAAGGAGAGAGGACAGCTGCGGCTGCAACATTCTTGGTTCTTCTTGGGTTTATTCAAACAAAAAAAGGGGAAAACAACACCCTGCATTCTTTGGCACGCTTGAGATGGACAGTGATGGCTATGTGGTTTCTTGCTTGCACAAAATCAATAAAAGAGAGGGTCAGAGTTTGGCTGGGGGTAGAGCCACACAGCACTGTACAGGCCAAGGGAGCTCGCTCTACTCATGTGCCAAGCTTGCCAGAGCACGTAAAGGCAACCGAGGCAGTGCCAAGCCTGAAGTAACCCACCCTGATGGGAGACAGCATATTTTTTCCCAGCTCAATGTTGCAGTAACCATGTCAGTTGGCTTGGAGCACAGGGAAAGCAAATCCGTGTCTTTGTGGAGAGTGGGTGCAACAGGCTTGCATCTGCCTGCAGAACCCGATGTAGAAATACATGCAGGGTTTCTGTTTCAGCAGCATGGGCTAGAATATGAGGGGATCTGGAGAGCAGAAAGAAAGGCTGGAACTGAATGAAGAAACCAGTCCTAAA